TTGGTTATAATTATATTTAATAAAGAGTTAAATGATTAACATTAATGTTATTCAAGTCTATGGAAAGTTAAGGGTATGTTCAAATAAAGTTTTTAATAAGAATTGTTTGAAAATAAACATTAATATTTTATTATGGGTCGAGGTGTTTTAAATTTAATCAAAATTGTTTTTATAAGTAATTTTCTAATTTTAAACAATTTTATTTAATTTTAAATAATTCAAATATAAGATTTATAATAAAAAAATTATTTTTATTCTTAATTAATTTCTATTGAAAATGTTCTAACCGACAAGTCATTAAATGACTTATTTGGTTAATGAGAAAATAGAAATAATTAGTGTATTAGTTTGATGAGGATGCTGATTTAAAATTTTTAAAGATTACTTCCAACCATGAGAGATGATTTGATGACTTAGATTGATCAATCTTAATTTAGTTTGATCTTAGTGTTTTAATCTTGTAATTTGATGTTAATTGTAATTAGTTGTTTGTTGATGAGCTATTCTTTATTGTTTTTAGCTATGTATGAAACGGAATTACCATATGTGTAAGGCTTGCTTTATATAATGTTAAATTTAATTGTGATTTATATTTGTTTTAACATATTAAATGGATTTTAATATTTTAAATTGTTCTTCAATTTCAGAAAAAACATGAATACCTATTTAACTCTTTAAAACAAAGTCATGTACTGTGATTCAATTGATTGAGTGTATTTCACTTTAGCTTATATCTATATTTAAATATACTATAATTTTTTAATAATTAAATTTATTTGCACATGTTAAAACTTTTCTTAGTCAGAATTAAACGAGTAAAAATAGATTTTTTATTTTTATTTTTAATGTTAAGATAAAGTTACTCTATACCCTCGAAATATAAGTTATAAGAATTTATTTATATATATATATATATATATATATATATATATATATATGATACTAAGAAGACCATATTTGGAGTTATTAAAAAAAGTTGTTTAAGAATAAAAATAAATATTTTATTATAATTTTTACGAATAAATTAATTAAAATTAGAAAAATATTATTAAATTTAGAAAAAATCATTTTTAATCACAACTATTTAGGAATAAAAATAAATACTTTATTATATATCCTTAATGGTTTAAATTTTGGTTAGAATTATTTATATAAACAATTCTTTTTCAATTTTAATTTTTTCTAATTTTAAGAGCATCTCCAATGAGAGTTGCTTATTGAGATGCTAAAATAAAATATTAGTTACTTGAAGTAATTTTTCATTGGAGGAATACTATGTGACATGATAAGTGTTTAATTTATTTTTATAATTGTTTCATCAAATAACTTACAAAAAGCATATCCGGAGGGAATATTTAATAATAATTGTTTAAAAATAAAATAAAATATTTTATTTTAGGCCCATACTTGAATTGCTTAAAACTTTGTCAGAGTTATTTATACAAACAACTTTCTTCCAATTAATATCTCTAAAGGGAGTTGTTACTAATAGTTGATTAGGAATAAAAATGAATATTTTATTATGAGTCTCACCTCCGAGTTGCTTAAAAGAAGAGAAAGTTACTTAGAATTGAAAGAAAGTTGTTTGTATTACCAAGAGTTGTTTAGGAATAAAAGTGAATATTTTATTATGAGTTTCACATCCGAGTTACTTAAAAGTGGAGAAAGTTGTTTAAAATTGAAAAAAAATTGTTTCGATAAGCAACTCAATCTGTGGGACTCATAATAAAATATTTAATTTTATTCTTAAGTAACTCTTGTTAAAAACTCTCTTTAGAGATTATCTAAGCAAATCGACCAAGTTTTAAGCAAATTGTGGAACCCATAATAAAATATTTAATTTTATTCTTAAGCAACTTTTGTTAAAAACTCTTTTTGGAGATGTTCTAAGCAATTTTTTCCCCTTTTAAGCAACTCATATACGAGACTCACAATAAAATATTCACTTTTATTTTTAAACAACTATTGGTAATAACTCCTTTTGGAGATGCTCAAGTCAAAGTAAATGACAAGAGAGAATATGAGAGAGGATGAAATTTTTAAAATTTATTAAGAAAACTTCTAATAGAATAAAATCAACAGGGAGTTACTTAAATGACATAGCATGATAAATCCTTCTTTTACATTTTTTAAAATAAGAAATAACTAATGTGAATTGTTTTAAAATAGAGAAAGTTGCTTAAAATTAGAAAAAAATTACTTATATAAGCAACTTTGACCAAGTTTTAAGCAACTTATACATGTGATCAATAATAAAATATTTAATTTTTTTCCTAGAATATCTCCAAAGATAATTTTTTACAAGAATTGTTTAGGAATAAAATTGAATATTTTATTATGGATCCCACATATGAGTTATTTAAAACTTGGTCGAATTGTTTATATAAACAACTTTCTTCTAATCTTAAGCAATTTTCTCTACTTTTAAGCAACTTTCTCCACTTTTAAGCAATTCGGATGTTAAACTCATAATAAATATTTATTTTATTTATAATCAATTTTTATTAGTAACTTCTTTTAAAGATGTACTAAACAACTCTTGCTAAAAACTCCCTTTAGAAATCTTATAAGCAACTATGACATGAAACTCATAATAAAATATTTATTTTTATTCCTAAACAATTCTTTATTAGAAACTCCCTTTAGAGTTGTTCTCTAATAAATTTTTAAACAAATTATGTGTGAGACCAATAATAAAATATTTATTTTTATTTCTAAGACATCTCCAATAGGAAGAACTCAAATAAGTTATTTTTTTATCTTGAAACATATATTTATAATATAATGACACATCTAAGTAATTCATTATTGATTTTACTCCATTAAAAGTTTTCTTAATAATTTTTTAAAAATTCATTCTCTCTTCTCATTTATTTTGATTTACTTATTTTTTGTAAATTGTTTGATGAACTAACTATAAAAAAAATTTAAGCACTTATCATATTACATAGAATTCCTTTAATAAAAAATTACTTCAAACAAATAATACTTTATTTAAACATCTCATTAATTAACTCCTATTAAAAATATTTTTGACAACTCTTATTAAAAACTAACTCCATTTATATACCAGCGTCATCTTCAAATTTAATCCTTGTAAGTATGATTTTTCTGTCTATCAAAATCCTATTGTTTAAAATTTGGTGATTATATTTTTTATTATGTTGTTTAAAAGATCTTCCGAAGGATTTTTACTAAGAACGATCTTTTAGATTTCAAGATTAATCTTCAAAGTTTTTCAATATATTTTTATTGTATTTTCATGTAAAACTTAAATAATTAAATTATAGGTCTGTTTAATATAGTTCCATTTTAAAGTGAACTATTGAATTATTGACTCTTTCTCTCTCTTTTTTTCTTTACAATTGAGTATTTAAAAGCAAAACTTGAAAAGATTTATTGAAGTAAAATATTTCAGCTATAAGGAATTTTATTTTTAATTCAATTTACTCTTCTTGAATCCACCAATATTTTTGTTCTATTTATCATCTATTTGTACTCATGTATTATCTCTCATTATTTCATTTATGTTTCTCTTCAACGAAACATACATACTTTTGGTTAAATAGTTTTTATTTTTCCACTAGTTCGGTGTCAATTTGGTCTCAATTTTTTGGAATGTGAATCAATATACTCTCTTTTGTCAATGTCGTTGAATTGTTTGATACAATGTGATCTTGAAATTATCATACTTACTTATATAGTGTTAATGTGATCTTTGTTTAGATCTAGGGATAAGAGTGAAAAAGGAAAAAATACATGGTCAATCACATAAGTCATGAGAACAAAAGCAAACACACCTAAACCCTAAACCTCTTCCTTCCACTTGCACAGTACCAACTATGGAAGCATACCCTTTTACATTAGGATCACACCCACGATTAGATGCGTGGGAAAAGAACCAAAATATATCAAATCTATCTTTCAAACCATCCTCAAATGGGGTATTTAATTCCCTCTCATATTCTGTTACAAATATTGATCCTGTGATGCCATCTTTAAGAACATCCAAACACTGCAAAGCCAGTAAATTTATTGCTTCCATTATCAGCTTAATACTAAGGTCCTCAGAAGAACCAACACTGCCTCAAAAGCTTGATGAGGGAGATTTGGCCAAGAGAAACAAAATCAACTTTAAGGTTTACTATAGCATAAAAGAGATTTTTCAAGAATTTAAAAGTTCAAATTCAGTCTCTATGTATGTTTAGTGTAACAGGTATACTATTATTGCTGTAGCCATTTGGTTACAGTATGCCAGCAACAAGTTCATGGATATGCACCTCTTCTTGGAGTATTTGCAAGGAATAACTAAAATTTAAAAATAATGAAAAATCAAATACATACTCTACTTTTGATGAATCGATTTGGTAAACATTTTGAAGATATTCCACCTTACACGTAGTGCTTGGGAAAATCAGTGTTTATTCTCTAATGCTGTGCAGTTTACACCTTCAGTTTGAGTCAGTAACATTAAAAGATTGAAGGAAAGTTGAGTGCAAGAAATGACCAAGTGGACACCATCTATTTATAAGGAAGGTTCAGTCTTTTTGGTATCATGATCTAATCAAAACTGAAGTTTCACCTAAGCAATCTGCATATTAAATATCTGTATTGAATAAAATTCCAATTTGATTGAAGAATAGACAAAAAGAACTTGAGGGAGATATTGTCCTCCTACCTTGACCCTATGGATCTTTAAAGTAATTCCAATTCTAAGCAAATGGGGAATTGCAAAATTCTTTTCTCGTGATATAATGTGAAAACCTGGAACATATTTAAACGAAGATATAGATCGAAACAACCTTGTACTGTTTCAAATATCTATCAACTTAGAAATTCCAAGCACTAGAACTTCACAATATATAGAGTAAAGGTGTACTATATATACAATATAACCATAAATCCAACATTTAAACTAAAACCAAACTCACTATATATATACAAGGAGAATTCGCTTGAAAACTTCAGAATTTACTTGGCTAGAGGTGCCTTTATACTACTTAGTCGTCCTTAAGCTTATAGACATTATCAATGTAATCTTCTGTCTCCCACAGGAAACTTCCAAAAGCAACAGCTTCCAAGACTAGTCTCTTCAAGCTAGAAAATGAAGTCAAAATAACATCATTATCCTCAATTGAACCCGATTCCTTGCTGTTAAAAAGTGCACAACTATAACTACCAACCAAATTCACAGCCTCCTTAGATCTCAATCTGGCACATCTCTGCAATGATCCAGGATGGAAGCTCATAACATAACATTTTAAGTCCTCAATTTCCTCTTCTGGCCTGACTAATCCTTGCCCTAAGGATGGCATGTTACTCAACTGGCCAAAGATGGCATCTTTGAATCCATAAGAACACATGAGGGAAGTCCTATGACCAAGGTGAACATCATGGTTAGCCAAGGATAGATTTCGTTCTAGGTGGTACCTCAATGAAACTGACTTCAAAAAGTAACCATATAATATGGAGGCAACATAAACTCGGGCAAGTAAGAATTGCCTAACTTGGGTTGTTGCCCAACACTCAGATACACTACATTTTGCTTTCAAACCAGTTACAGTAGTTATGTGTTCCCTTATCATATCCAAAACTTCCAAGCTATGAATAGACTCTAGTTCCCAGTCCTTAGAAGGCAATATCTCTAGCCTGCCATTGTAAAGGCAACTAGAAAGTTTTGGTACCAAAGGGACCCTGATCTCAGAAAACTTGTAAAAAATCAGCAAGTACATAACATCTTCTACAGCAATTTGACATTGATTCTCTTTTACTTGTGCAATCCTCCTGGCATCAGAAAAGGTTCAAGTTAACATCTTTTCAATGGATATCTACAAGTTTGTTATGCAACTACTGAGGAATTTATGACGAAGGTTTAACAGTTCTGTTTATTTCATTCCAGGGTATGACTTGATGCCAGGCAATACCCAGATTCATTTAATCATGCAGATACTGCTTCAGGTCTGAAAAGATCATGAATATTTAACTCCAATTAAAACAATGCAAATGATATTACAGGACAATTCAGGTCAAAGTGTGCCAAAGAAAACGCCAGGCAGCAACAGTTAAAAATCTTAAATCTCATAATATCTAGTATATTTTACTTGAAGGCTTCAGAGGGGACCAAAAGTTGTAAGTTATTCTATCCTCCCGTTAATAAATGCTGATTGTTCATGCTCAAAAAAAGTTTGAAGGTACAACCCAGAGAAAAGGATTTTAAAATCTCCAACTTAAAATCATGTAACCATTGATTTGTCAGCCTCTAAAGCTTCACATGGAACAGGAAAAAGGCCACTAATTTTTTGGAACAAATAGTTCTCCACAAAATTTGACAGGGCTGCAAAACAGTCAATGAGGGTCAGAAAAAGTTTGGTTTGGCTTTCCACAAGGAATGATGACCAAACCATGCAACTTGTGGTATGATAAGTCCCTAATTTTCACCTCCAAACCATCATTAATTCACATCTTAGTCAACTAACATTCCTTAGGCTTTGTCTTAGTCCTACTTGATCAAAAAACCCTTGATACCAAAGCTTGTCTTCTCTACAATGAAGTTTACATTTAGTACTTTTCTTGATACCTAAACTATGATTATATCATTTGCAAAAAGAATGCAACGACACTGCCTCTCTGTGCTTGGATGCTCCATTTAAGAATGTCAAATATCAAGGTGTTAAGGTATGGACCTAATAAAATTAACCCTTGCTGTAAGCCAAAACTTGGTTACCAAACTGCACAGCATGATAAGACCTATATTATTGCAGATTTGGAGTGCCATGCTAGCATCTCCAAGAGCCTCACTTGGTCAAGAAATTTTTTAATACAATAAGGTCTTCATATTTGAATTCTCGTCCCATGAATGTTTTAAGATTTTCCAACTCAAATAAGGTGCCTTCTTGATTCTTTCTTTTCTCATCAATCTGTCCTGTTTCTCTTACACTCCAAAAAAGGTGTTTTATCTAACAAATGTAAAACATGTATAATCACAAAACAACCAAATGAAGTTTGTCAAGGTTCCTTACACTTACTGTAGAACAAGCAAACAAACATCTAACCTCTACAAGTCTAGAAAATTGAATTCAAAGTTCTTCCCCCTTTAAAATAAAATCTGAAATTTTACCAAACAGAAAAAGGTTAACCCACCCAGATAATGCAGAAAAAACACTAGTTGTTCAACGCACTTTCAAATCCATATACATCTAACAAAACCCCAGATGTAAGGTTTATAACATTACACACAGAATGACCAAAATTTCTCCGTTGAAGTCGCATGTATCATAAAGTCAGATGTCAAGGTTGTACAAGGCGGTCCAGGACAACCATTACGGCTGCAACATCAAGGTGTTTGTGGTCTCCGCCACATCAGCCACATTCATCACCAATTTCTCGCAATATCAAGTATGGCATCAAGGTTTTTGGGTCTCCACCTCATCAGCCACATTTATCACTAATTTCTCACAATATCATGGATGAAACCGCCGCAGCCACAATTTAAAACCTTAGCAAAGATCAAATTTTCAAGTAAACTCATAACAAAATGGAATCCATACATACAGTTTGATTAATATTTCAACATGCAAATATATTCCCAACAAATCACATAAAATTCAAACCTCATAAAAAACTTAAAAATGAAAAAAACCAAAAGGGCATTAAAAACTTATAATCCGCCAACCAACCTGTGAAGGAGGGCCTCATCGGTGGCAGAACCAAGCACCATGCGAGCATGTGCCGCATCACGATCCTCAGCCAAGAGCTTGAGCTCTTCCCCAACAGCAACATGGAACATCTGAGGGTGGTTCTGAAGCACACCACTGAGGAACTTCCCCACCATGGAACGTGGCTCCAAAGGAGAGTTCAGGCTGCTAAACTCACATGGGCTGGCTCCAGCACTTGCTCTGATGAAGGGTCTACGCCTATGGTATAACAAACAAGAGGAAGAAGAAAAAGCAGCAGCACCGCCACCAAAATCAGGCCTCGTGAAGAATCTGAAGTGGGGTTTATGAGATGATGATAAAGATGACGGGAGAGTGAGGAGTGTGTGATGGTGGTGGTGGATGAGACAGTTTTCCATCAAACAACAAAGGATTGTGAATTGGTGAAAGAATGAAGCAACAAGCTTAGAGAGATTTGTGAGAGAGAAAGAGAGAGAGTGGTTGGTGTTACTGCGATGTGCTGTTGTTGTTGATGTGTTCAACAAAGTTGGATCAGTTATGTATTGTTTATGACTACTGTGGTAGCAGGTTGAGATAGGATTCTTCAATTCACAAGAAAAGAGAAGTAAACTAAAATATCTTCTTCTTCTTTTTCTCTTTTGAATTTAATTCTTCAAGAATAAAACAAAAAACTTTTTATCTTTTTTTTTTCATAAAATATCAAATAATAATAAATTTTCTTTAATAATGAATATCTTGTAAGATTGTATTAAAATATCTTTGTTTATGCAACGGATAGGGTTGTGAGACTTTTGAGGTAAGGAAGGGTCAGAGGTTTGTGTTGGTTTCTGTGTGCGCTGGTTATTGTTATTGTTGATAAGTGATAAGTGCGTTTTCTAGTGGACACTTGTTTTCTTATGGATGTGGGCCCACACATGTCACTCATCATTGCTTCTGTAATAATTCAACTTATTTATTCATTCTCTAAAAGTATTATCAAAGTTTCATAAATACATCATTTAATTTTGGTTTTCTATCCTTGCCATAAAGATAACTGTCAAAATCTTTTTTTTTTAATATTAAAAAATAATAAATATTAGAAAATTACACCATTTATACATGAAATATAAATTAATTGATGCATTTTTTTCACCAAACCCTAAAATATAGAATGAAATATGAGGGTGTAGAAACCGAATAGGAGGAGAAAAGTATTTTGTTTTCCTCCCAAACACACACAGCACAAAAAAAAAAAAATATATATATATATATATATTTCATTTTTTATATATGGAAAAGACATAGGTGTCGTTGTGTGTAATTTTGGAATGAATATAAAGATAAATAAAAGAGTTGAAAGAAAAAGAAATAAAAAAAATTGTTGAATAATGTTTTGGTGGTTTGCGAGAATTAAATAATTAAAATAAATAGATAAAGAAAATATCAGTTATAAAGTAGAATTTTATAAAAAATCTCCCTTTATTAAACCGTTATAGATTGAAGGTTATAATATTAAACATTTTAGAAACGATCCAAAATCTTATTATTTATAAAATGCGCTAAAATTTTGAATAAAAAAAATAAATGAAATAAAGTAAAAAATTAGTGTGGTGTATAATTATTTTGTGTAAAATTTATAATCAAAGAAAATGGCATTAAATAAAAGAAAATAACACGTGGTATATAATTATTAAGATTGACTTGGTTCATTTATAAATATTTAAAATAATATATAACTTAACATCATAAAATTGTAAAATTCTATTTTCTATCGACTGTTTTAAGGAATATAAATTTATAATACTGAATAATCGGTATTTCTCCACAGAGACAATAATTATAATTAATTTAATATATTGATATTAAGAATAGTTTATACATATATTTTTTTAAATAAAATCGTGGATAAAAACTTTAAAATAAATACTATTATTTTTAACTAACCATTACGAGTATCTTTTATTTAATTATTCTATCACAATATATTATATTTTTGTATATAGTACGAGAAATGTAAAAAAAAATTGATATATATAAATTGAAAATTCCTACGATGTAGCCATCATATAAATATTACTGACGCTGACATGTGATATTTTTTAATATTGCAAAGAAATTTAGGGATTTTTTTATATTTTATTTTTGCCCTGTTCATGATAAGTGATTCACTACAAAAAAAATCCCTTTTAGCGATCGAAAAAATGGTCGCTAATGGCCAAAATTCGGTCGCTATTCTGTTAGCGACCGAAATTAGCGATCAGAAATGGTTGGTCATGAAAGGCAAGTCATTAAGTTGTTAGCGACCGATTTACATTTGATCGCTAAATAGCGACCGATCTGATGGTCGCTAAAGTGGTCGCTAAATAATTTGGTCACTCATTTATTGGAGACCAAAATAGCGACCGAATTAAGTGGTCACTAAATCGGTCACTAAATCAGTGGTAAAGTTTTAAAAAATAGCGACCAATATATTCGATCGCTAATATATTAATATAATTATTTAAATAATAATTAAAATCGATCAGCTAAATCGGTCAGCTAAATAGCGACCGAAATGAAAATCGGTGGCTAAATAGCAACCGATTTAAATCGATCGCTAAATCAATGACAAAGGTAAAAAAATAGCGACCGATTTAAATCGATCACTAAATCAATGAAAAAGTTAAAAAAATAGCGACCAATTTAAATCGGTCGCTAAATCAATAACAAATTTAATTATTTTTATTTATTTACATTTTTATTATATTTATTATTTATTTTCCCTACCTCTTAAATATATTATATTTTTGCTTATTTAAGTTTTTATTTATATTTATTTCTCCTATCTCTTAATTATATTATATTTTTTAGAAGTTTAACTTATTATTAGGTGATTTATTGTCATTGTCAAGATTCGAACCCGATACCTTAGAGTTGGAGGTTGAAACTCCAACCACTGAACTTACTAGGATCTTTTAATAATAACTTACAAATAAATTATATTTATATACAAATAAATGTATATCCAGTATAAATATATAAATATAAAATCTATAAATAAAAATATATTTATATATTTTAATATATATTTAAATATTGATATATTTATATATTGATATATTTATATCTTTATATCTTTATATTTTTACATATATTTATATTTTTATATATTTATATCTTCATATTTTTACATATATTTATATCTTTTCATATTTATATATAAAGATATTAGTTTTCTATATAAATAATATTATAATATAGTATATTATATTATTAGTATAGTATACAAATAATATATTAGTATAGTATAGTATACAAATTATTAATTTTGTAATTTATATACAATGAAAATAATATAATGGTATATTAGTATAGGATAGTATATTTGTATTCTAATTTTTAATTAAATTAAAATTATGCTAATAATGTATATTAATATATGAGGGGATAATATTGATATATTGATATATTTGTATATATATATATATATATATATATATATATATATATATATTTATATATTTATATATTTATATATTTATATATTTATATATATATATATTTATATATTTATATATTAATATATTTATATATTAATATATTTATATATTAATATTTTGATATATATTAGTATAGTATATTTGAATTCTAATTTTAAATTAAACTAAAATTACGCTAAATGTATAATAATATATGAGAAGATAATAAATTTAATCCAATTACTTTTATAAATATATAAATATAAAATCTATAAAATATTAAAAATGATATTATATTTTTAAAAACAAATATTAGAAAAAGGTTTAAAAACATGTATAAATTATATTTATATGTCCAAAATATTAAAGATATCCACATTTAAAACAATATTAAAAAATATTAATAATAAATTTAATTCTTTAAATTTAGTATTTAGAAACTAAAATTATAGTTTCTCTGTTCTTAAAAAATTAAAATAACTATTTAAAAATAAAAATCAAAACTAGTATTATCTTAAATTTATTAAAAGTGTAATTAAATCTCTATTTTCTTAATTTTATTTGTTTCAAACATCTCAATTCTACATTTTTGTAAGTTCTATCATTATATTATCATCCTCATCTCCTCCCATGTTCTACTTTATCTTTACAATAGTCAATATTCTTAACTAATTTATATTTTTATTTATAATTTTTTAGTATATATTTTAGAAATTAATCAATTCTAATCTATTCTTTGAAAAACTAATCAATTCTAATCAATAATTTATAAAACTAATCGATTATAATTAATTATTTGAAAAAATTATCAAATATGATCGATCATTTCAAAAATCTAATCGATCGAGCAAAAAATCGCTCGAGCGAGACTAGAGTCGCTCAAGCTAAATACAACCCGAGAATGCCAATTTTGTGCAGGGGCGTTTCGCTCGAGCGATTTTATTTTCACTTGAGCGAATAAGACTTCTAATAGCGGTTATCGCTTAACCGCTATCTAAAATATGATTAAGATAGTGGTTAACCCATAACCGCTATCTAAAATACATTTTAGATAGCGGTTAACCCCTAACCGCTATTATATCCTCTCAATTATGATCGATCATTTCACGGTATGATCGATCAGAATCTTATTTCGCTCGAGCGAAGTACTTATCGCTCAAGCGAAATACAACCCGAGAATTCACAATCTTAAAATATTTTTTTGAATATTATGTTTTTAAATTTGCTATTAGAGAAAACCTTTCAGAATTCAAAATGTTAAATAGTTTTAAATATTAAAATTAACTTTATCAAAAATTAGGAAAAAAATTTATCCAAAAGAGTTCAAAAATGTATAAGAGTATTCTCAATTTTGAGTTTAATTATATTGTTCATTCTCAAAGTAGAAAATTATATTGTAATTATTTTAATTTACATTTTGTTATCTTCTTAAAATTAGCATCAATAACATTAGACTTTACATTTGATTCATACCTAACTAATTATAGATTAAAAGGAAAGTGGTATAACCATGTATTTTACTTTTCTATTTACCTTATTCTTTTAATTATTTTATATAATATTTACCTTATTCTTTTAATTATTTTATATAATAATAATCAAAATATTCACATTCATATGGGCGTTTTCGAAAATAATATTATTGTATTATTGTTAAAATTAGCATCAATAACATTAGACTTGATCTTCTTAATTATATTGTTCATTCTCAAAGTAGAAAATTATATTGTAATTATTTTAATTTAATAAAATATAATTTAAATTTTTAATACTAAAATTAAAAGATTAAATAATAATGACTTTAATTCTTTAAATTGAGTATTTAGAAACTAAAATTATAGTTTCTCTGTTTTAAATAATTAAAATAAAAATCAATATCAAAACTAGTATTATCTTCATTTTTTTTGTTTCAAACTTCTCAATTCTACATTTTTGTAACTTCTATCATTATATTATTATCC